CTCTGTGCCTCAGCAATTTTAGTTTCCAACACCTCATAACTCCTTTTCAATTAACCATCACCATGAACCACGGTATTCAGAAAACACTCTTTGAGTTCCTCACAGTCATAACCTACAGTGGCCCAAAATAGAATACATATATAACAGTTAATAAAGTAACAATTTTAATCTATTTGTCTTCCTGTTTTGCAGGAGGCTTACAATGCTCAAATACCAATGTTACAAAGGATCAAGGAAGCGATCCCTTCCATGTGTCTTCAAGTTTGTCATTCAGCAGCCAACCAAATGTCTCGCACTTCACATTTCACTGTGAACCTATCATTGAATGTTATCTTCCTAAACCTTGAAATGAAAAACAACAGAAACACTTTTTACACATAATGAAACTCATTCTAATGTTTCCTCATTTTGATGCGCATCCAGTTGCACTAACAAAGGCCTAAAAGTTATTAATGATGCTAGATGGCAAGATGTTCTGGTTTATAAGTTCTGATGCCATGAGACATTATAGAAGCACTTATAATATGGATGACAAAAATTATTAAATAACTTAGTATAAAATACATATAGAGTAATTAAAGAAATGTGTGTGGTTTTAGTTTTAAAACTACTGCTCTCCGTAATACATAAATTAAAATACAAGCAAAATTTTTTATCTATACATGCAAAACAAAACCTTTTACAGAGTGTGCCCAAAAATACTAAATATACTGGGAGGCCCAAAATGTACCTACCAAGTTTAAACTCAATTTTTTCTGGAATGAGCGATTACAATTTGAAGAAAATTTGCTCACACACTGTAGTCCTCAAGTCATTTGTTTTCTTTTTTTGTACCAGGGCAACTCAAAGGACATTGGAGGAGCACAAATCATCTATTGAATATAAAATCTTCCCTTTCCAAGTGATATCCTCCAAAGCGAGGTATAAAACTATGCAATGAGATTATAAGCGACTGTTAGAGTTGAGGGCAAACACCTTTCACACATCATAATATTTATGGACTGAGATTATAATTTGACCAGTATCTGAATGAGATTTTATGCCTCGTTGTTCATGTGAAACAAAGCATTAAACTTGGTACATACATTTTTGACTACCTTTATTTACTGCATGAAGCATGAGACTTCCTGAGATGCTACTATTCACACAGTTAGAAATAAAATTTCCTGCCTTTTATGAAACCTGAAGGTTCATTAAAGTGTTCGCTGGACCCTGTCATAGGTTCCTGTCTTGAGCCACAAATCCAGTCCATACCTCTCACCTTATTTCTTGAATATCCACGTTAATAGTATTATCCTTCCATCTACATCATCAGGTTTTCAGACCAAACCAAATGTAATTTCTAATGTTAGCCATGCAATCCACTCTCTCTGCCCATCTTATTCTCCATCATTTGATCACACTAATATTTGGTGAAGAGTACAAATGATGAGGCTCTCTCACTGAACATCATAGTTGCGTGGTCTGCTTTGTATTTGGGAGGTCCTGTGTTCAAACATATGCCCTGAGACCAGTCATCCTGACTAAGGTTTTTGTGGTTTTCCTCAGTCTATCCAGGCAAATGCTGGGAAAGGAATTAGGCCACGACTGCTTCCTTCCACATTCTTTCAAATTCATTGCTCATTGTCATCCTCTCATCTGACACTATATAGTCTAGGTTCTGTAGCACCATTAAACAACCTATACATATAATAAATAAATAAACAAAAATAATAGCTCTCCACTATGCAGTTTTCTTATACTGAACAAAACAATACTGTAGCATTTCAGAGCAATGGAAATACAAGAGAATTCTTTCCTTTAAACCACTTCTGGCCCAAGTAGAACAGGTAAATCTATGTAATTTACAATTCAGCCTCTCCCTGGTGATGGAAGCATTTAAAGAAAACTGGTAGTGCTTCTTTTAGAATAAAAATTCCAGCACTCAAATTTCACAGAAAGCATAAGTGGGGGAAGAGCAAAACATCTTACAGTTTTTGACGCAAAAAAAAAAAAGAATATCCAAAACTTGTGTTAAAATAAACACTGCTTCCTTACTTTAATGTGATATTTTCATTTCTTTCAATTATGTGTATTATGAAAATGGTACATCTTTATGTTGTATATTAGAAAATAGGGTCTTGTACAAAATTGTAAATTTAGTGGTCAATCACTTCACAAAAATTCACAACTTACTTACACTCGCTAATTTATGTATGAACTGCTGGTCACTGCCATGCAAATATGGAATAGTTTTTGCTAATGTAAGCAATAAGCTTGTGTCATCTAGAACGTTTCTTGTCCAAAGAATTCCTAAACACAACTAGCCATATTAATGCAAATAATAACCTGTTTTTTTTCCAAATGTTCATTAGTGTAAACAAAGTATAAAGTAATGTAAAACTTTTCCTTTTTAAAATGGCCAAGATGTATCAATGTCAGGATTGGTAATGGGGAACAAAGATGCTTCCAATATGCTGCTAGACTGTGCACATTACATTGGCTGCAGAACAGTTAAGTTCAATCATCTCCTAAAGAAATAACATTACTAAAATTGTCAATCCAACATGCCCCCAATGTTTTTGTTTTCAACTTACATAGATCAGCTACAAAACTTCATCTGACTGCATATAAAACACAAGATTTTGATGTAGACAATAACTGTGATTTCTCTTATACCTAGTAAGAAAAAAATATACCAATGACAACTGCACAAATTTTAGGTTATATGTAGAACAATGTTCCATTACACTATATATGTTTGAGGTATTCTAAAATACGCAAGAAGTTACAGCAGTAGAGATAGTACAGATGAAATTATGCAGGAAACATAATAGTCAAACTGTAATAATTAAATGTAATCATACCTAAATCATCCATTTCTTGGTTACTTTTCGCTGTTGGTGACAATCTTCTTCTAACGTTGCCTATAATTTGTATAACACTATATCTAACGCAATTACCATCACTTTTCACTCAAAACATTAACCACACCTATTCTCAGCAAAATTGTATATTTACAAGAATCACTGGAATTTCCTTCTCACTCACGAATATTAACACTAATGGCGGATGAGCGAATTTGAAATTACTTTTGGATGTGCTACCATCTTCCAGTATGATTTAAAAGTACACTAAGTAGAATTCAAACATATCAGCCACAGCATAAACGTGCCCAATATTTACTTTAGCTAACTTGCGATCTTACCTTTTTTAAAAATATATCATAATCGTCATTTTCATGCATTATGCTATTTAACCTGTTACGGCTCCAAATGCAATTACAAAGAATCCAATTCTAAGTATAAAACAAAGTAAAACTTGTCCAAATTTAAAATATACTAAATATATAAAAGTATTAGATTAACCTTCAAATTACGTTCAGAATTGTATTTATAACGCTGTTGCTCCAAATCCCTCTAGGGATCTACAGTAACAACACATACGGCCGTAGGTTTCAAAGTAATTTGAGGTAAATATGCCACCTTTCAATCAGTTAATACTGAATAGACACAATAAATTTGACTGTGGCATAATTTGAACATTTACATTACATTAAAGATTGTCATGTTGGCTTATGCTGTATGTGTGTAATTTATTACTTTCTACCTTTAACATAGTTTGGAGCAACATCCAAAACATATTTGTCACCATATTATGAAGTTGTTCCATATATTAAAAGTGGTTCCTCCATTGCATTTATGGATTCCTTGTAAAACTACTGAATCTAGATTGAGATGCACACAATACTCAAGCGATGCAGGAAACATCCATTGCATCTGATATTTTGGTCAGTATGGTGACTAGGAGCTGGATAACCAGATTTCAATTCCCAGCACAGTAGGATATTTCCCTTTATGACAACAACATCCAAATCAGCTCTGGGGCCCACCAAGCCTCCAATCCCACAGATACCAGGGTTCCTTCCTAGAGCCTAAATCAGCCAGCATGTGAAGCTAATCACATATGTCCAACTTGTTCCCCGGTTAAGAATGCAAAGAGCTGAATTAAAGACTACATATGATATTACCTTCATCTTTATCCTTGTAATAATATCAAAACTCAATAAAAAGGTCACAGTAGAAAAAGCACAAAACACATGATATACTTTGAACTAGAATATACTATTCACAGAGGTTTCTTTTTATGTTGTGTGTTGCTTACGTTATTGTGCTTTTCTTCCACTCCGATTTCTCTACACCGATTTGGGATACACAGAATGCATAAATACTAATGTTCTCTAATCTTATATGGTATAAACAGTAATCATGTTCAATGTCGCTATATTGCATTTCCCGCTCACAGTGCACTGTGACTAACATAGCTAGAACTAGAAAGAATTTGAATTTGTAGCATATTATCTCTGTTCCAAAAATATTCGCTACCTTCAGACTTTAACACTTCCTCATTAATAGATATGCTGTAAGTTTTCATTTTCAGTAGGGTAAGGTTCCAGCACACAAGGTATAAGAAAGGATAATTTTATTTTATATTCATGTCTTCCACCTTTTAAGCAGACAGATGAGAAATGCATACAAAATTTAAGTCAGAAACTCTAAACAGAAGACTAAAACACACTAAACGATTATATACAAAGATAATATCAAAATTAATCTTGAAAAGAATAAGGTGTGACTGAAATGTCTTAGAATGCAGTTCAGTGGCAGGATCTGTTTTAAGGACACACAACTACACTGGTCAAAAGAGAATAAATAGATCTTATGAAAGTCTCCGTTTTTTAATCGTCTATGGTCAGCTTGACTGTCGTGACCCCTTTCGGGGTTTTCTTGCGAAAGTACCACGGTGGTTTCGCTTTGCCTTCCGTGGCCAGTCTTTACCCACCAGACTGGAAGGGAAGACGCAGACAAACATCCATGCCTTGGGTGGGACTTAACCCATGGTTGCAGCTGCCAGGCGCACGAGGACCATGCCTCAGACCGTGTGGCCACTGCACCAGCTATGAAAGTCTTCCCACACATAAAACATTTACATTACCAAAGTTTAAAATAAATAACAAAAACTGTGTTTTAATATATATATAATTAAGATATTACTCAATATTCATACACCTGTGTAGTATTTACAAGCACAGAATATACTTTACATTTCACCAGCTACTGAAATTACCAAACTCATACCCAGTATTCTTTCGCTTCTTCACAGCAGGTTCTGGAAGAGCTTCACAACTTCCTGCCCTGTAAAATAATTAAATATACTGAATCCCACATGATGTTACAACACAAATGACCATGACAGTTCAACATTGATTTGTCAACTGTATAAGTTACAAAATATTAAACAGGAGGCTCACTGTCAATAATTGGGAAGGACATTAAAGAAGTGGTCATGACTTATTTTAAATAAGCCTAGCGGTATCTACAGGTACCAGCTGCTTTCACATTCAGCAGCTATATACTTTTCGCACACAAAACGTATACAGGTAAACCTCGATTTGCACCAGTTTAATTTGCGCCAATTCACCGCTTTTGAAAACAGCAAATCAAAAAGTGAAAAAAAAATTTTTACTATTATTTATAACGTTTTACAATGTTTCTCATACTGATTCTTATACTAAATTGTAATTCCTACATACAATAAACAATAATGAAGTATTTTCTTATTTATTAGTAATTTTTATAAATATTCATTAAGCTGAAAAACATTCATGCCACTTTTAATTTTAGAAATATATGCTTCTGTTACATCTCTCTTAAAGTTGTTTACTTCATCTCTCAGACATTATGGAACAAACTGAATATGGGTCATCTGGTACCTTGGATAATGTTACCGATTTATAAATATTAACATGGTTCAAACTTACATGAATTAATTAAGTGAAGAAACACATCATACTCACTGTTGGGATGCTTACATATTGACATATTTACCCACTCCAGACCGGAACACTTTAAGCTGTCCATTTCCGCCTCGAGATAGTTGTTTCTTACTTTCTGTTTCCTCTTCAGCAGCTTTCCTCCTTGCTTCTTCTGCCCTTTCAGCCATTAACTGTAAATATATCATGAAGTGACTGAAAAAACAGTTGAACTGAGGACAAAGGAAGAAACATAAATGACAAAATGATATAACAATGAGGTCCACAATTTTGTACTGTTCCCCAAATAATGCAAAGGTAAATAAGAAAGAGATGAAGAGAACAGGAAGACAAAGAATGCATACAAAATTTTGATTGGAAAACCTCAAGAGAAGACACCTGTCTTGAAGCCAAGGTGTACATGGGAGGATTATAGTGAACCTTGAACAAAACGAGTATCAACATAGTAAGCATTTTTAGAATGGTGATGAAACTTAAAAGTAAGAAATTTATTCACCACCTGAATAACTACCAACTGCTCAGGAACACCTGTACCATGGAATTTGTAAGTTAATAGCTGTGATATCTCATATGTAAATCTGGATGAACTAAGTTTTACAACAAATTTTAATAATTCTCCAACGGCATGTGATAATTGTCAATTCATTATGCCACAATCAAGTTGGGTGCTGTCCACTGTAAAGTAGAAGGGCTGTTCAATAAGTAAATTCCAAGGGTGTATTACACTTGTATTGCTTGTTACATTAATGACACGAGTCAAAAACAAACCCAGCACCCTTTAAATACCAAACTATTACCACTGGGAAAAGTGGGCCACTCCATTGGCATGAGGTTAGCATATTTAAAGAGGTCTAGACTTGATGTACAAAATTAAGCTTTAGTGGCAACTGATGTTGATGAAAGACCTCCGGTTACAAGCTGCAGCAGATCTCAACTTCTAAGCATAAAAGCCAGCGAGCTGAGCAGTCTTGACCTCTTCTTCCAGAGATTTTCCAGACATCGAATATCCTGTATTGTCTTCTCCACATAAAGGTTTCTGATGTATAAAGTGACCTCACATGGCTTGTAACCCGGGAGTCTTTCATCAGGTATAGATCTCATTCAGACTGTTGCAACTAATACTGAAAATTAAAGCATGTCAGTATGACACCCAAACATCCAGGTGGCAGGTGCACAGCCAATTCCTTAAATATTGTATATATCAAATACACCTCATACAACAGACAACAAAACTGTACCTGTTCATCAGCTTCTTGGTAGGGGTCAACAAATACTTGTGCTTTCTCCACAATAATGTCTTCTATTGGTCTGTCTTTGTTGTCTGTTTCAACTCGTTCCATGGATGTAAGTGTATCTAGGCCTCCCACAACACGCCCAAAAATACTATGCTTCCCATCCAAATGACGACATGATCGGAATGTGATGAAGCTGCAGAGTAAGGTCATACCTTACTTATCTACACAGTACAGCATGAAAATGACTAAAAATTCATAAACTTGTTAAGCATATTGGTTTCTTTCACTCAATAAACAGGTTTCGTAACGTTCTTCCCAAACAGGTTACCTTTAATGACGTACATGTAAAGTTGCCTCTGTGCTTAAGCAACATTTACAGAGGTACAGCACTACACATTCTAAACCACAGTACTAGATGGAAGAAAGTAATTACATTTACACTCAAGCTGATTTATGCCTGGATATGTACTGAACAGAACATTGGGTTAACACCAGAGAAAGTGTGGGTACTTTTCAAAACTGTGAAGATTAAGAAACATATAAAACAACTGTTTTAACAGTCTCTCATAACTATAAACATAATCTCTTACTTTAGGGAAGGAAAGTAAATTGCAACCACTTGAAAATTAAGTAAAATTTCAAGTTAGTTGATCATGTAAGTGAAGAGAAAAAAATTAACTTACAACTGAGACCGATTCGTATTTGGTCCAGAATTTGCCATAGACAGTACACCTCTACCACTATGAGTCAAGTTTGGTTTGAACTCATCTTCAAAAGGTTTCCCCCAAATTGATTCACCCCCTTCACCAGTACCAGTTGGGTCACCACCTTGAATCTGTAGGCACAGAGTGTAAATTATAACAACATAAGTTATTTAACTTCTACATCTATAAAAGCACAATTATTCTACAATAAAAACACTAGGGTCAACAAATATTAATCCTCATACCCTTCATACAGTGTAGTAGCATGTAACCATAACACAACTTTCCAACCACTTTCATCACTAGCATTTACTTACAATGTATTATACCAGGCATGTATTGGTGCAACTTAACTGTGACATTTTACAGTCTTTAGTAAGATATGTTCAAACATGTAAGGTTGAACCAAACACAGAGCCACTGAGGACATCCCCATGGGGCTGAAACACATCTGGCATAATCCATTGTAGATAAATGCTAGTTGGTGATAAAAGTGGTTGGAAAGTTATGTTATGGCCAACAAATATTAGCTTACCTGACCAGTGAAACAAAAACCATTCATCAGATTACTGAATCTTTCACTAGCAAATATAATATGTATATGCAACGCATAGAATAGGAATGGTAATGTAGTCATTATGCCTAAGCATAAGCACATCATGAATATGATAGGGAGTAGTGGTAATCCTCTACACATTTCATTCTCAATTTCAACGGTGTTAAACTTGCATGCCCACATTCCTTTACTGCATGTTTATACACAAGGATGACTTTACTTTTAACAATCATCATACTAATTTAACAGCAAAAACATTACCAGAAATTTCATATAACTGGTATTTTGTTATTCGCTCCTATTTATACAAAGAAGATATCATTTTGTGGTCTTAAAATTACCATTATGTTCAGATGTTAAAAAGTCTTAATAAATGAAAACGTTTAATATTACAAACCATAAAGTTACGGATGGACCGATGAAACTTCCCACCATCATAATAGCCCCTCTGAGCCAATTTAAGAAAATTTTCACAGGTCTTGGGCAACATATCACAATACAGTTCCAAGTTTAGGGGTCCAAAATTAGTAACCAATCGGACATATCCTGAAAAGAACATAATTAAACATTGTAAATAACTATGTGAAAGAAAATCATTTTAAATACTATGACACAGAACAGATAACACACACAGGCAAATGAAGTGCTTGAATGGCCAGTAATTCCAGGCAAGAGCACCAATATCCTAACCTTCCACAAATGAGTATCGACAACAATTTCTTTGGGGGTAAAGCAGCTTGAACATGAGTAAAGTAACTTTCATCTTGTGCCAAGGTCTATGAGCAAATCTTTACCTGCACTCCCCTCTGTATGCCTTTATTCCCTGGAACTTAGTCTCACCTACACAGCAGATAACAAATTTGTCTTCAGTGTAAGACATAAGAATCAAGTAGACTGAAGTGTTATCTAAAATTTATTTCTTGTACTACAATCAACCCTTGCTAAACCAAGATTTGCAAAACTTGTCTTACTGTGTTCCTCCTTCCAACCAACGTTTACTTATGTATGTTTTGTGCTTATTCCAAGTATTTATGAAGCCTCAAATTGGCCAGAAACATTAAGCTTCTTTCATTAAACCCACTTTTGTGTCTCCTAGACATATATCCCTGCTCCTCACATTGTATCAGTTTTAAATATCAACAGTAAGATTCCAGATGGTTATAGGATGAAAATGGAAATGGCAAACAAAGGAAAAATAACTCAAGGGAAACCTAGACAGACTTTTGAATAGGGCTTTCAGAACATACTAGGAGGAAAATAAATATGATGTAATGAAGCCAAAATCCATGCCAAACATCACTTAATGTAAATAATTCATTGGGCACTATTAGGCAGAACAGGAAAAACAAAGTAACTTTAACAAACAAGAATGCAACTGCAGTTCCCCAACCAACAGGGTGAAATCAGCAATATATACCTTTCTTCTTGACTCTCTCATATCGGACTAGATCCTCTTCAACAATAGCGGCTTCATGTTTTGTTTGCGGAGCAAGTACTGTTGATGTAAAGCCTGCAGCCACAGCTCCAGTTGAGTAATGAGCCTGACACAGAAATATAAATTGCATCAAAATACTGAATAGAAAAAACTCTGATTTCCTCACATGATTATGTGGGCAAGATGTCTAGAGTAACAAAATTTTTTAATAAAATTCCCCAATGTCAAATTTGATGAAATTTCACTAGCAGTTACAAGCCTTTACACGTGACAGGTACACTAAAGCAAACATGTGCATGTAAATTCGCTTACTGGCAACTATTATAGCTAATCAGTTCTTGAAACCTGTAAATGGTATATACTACAAATAACCCATAATCTGTGACATCTCAGATTCACTCACAGCATTGAATTTGTCAGCAACTTTCTTTTCTTCTTCCTTGACATCTGGAATTTTGTAATCTCTATTCAACTCTTCCAAAATCTCTCTTGTTTCCATTGATACAGATTTAAGATTTCCAGCAGTATCTTTCTCAGGTACTACAACATATGAAAAAATAGCCAGTAACTGGTGCAAAGAAATGTGACAACATTAATGCTCTTAGTGGCAGGCCACATGTTATGCAAGAATTTCCTAGCTGTTCCATAAAAATATAACAATGGTTATAAAAGAAATGTCTTCTTCGGGTCAAGTGAAAGGTCTGTGGGAACTAATGACAAAGGTTATCCTTATCTAATGGGCTCCATGGAATAGGTGCCCCTTCCTTTTATCAAAAACCAAACGCACAGACATAGCCAGTCTCTGATATGAACACCTTTCTGAGAAATGAGGAAAAAAAAATAAATTCCCATGCAGGCCTGCTGCTATGTGAATTTAGAGAAAAATCACTATACTCTGAGGAATATATGATCATTTACCTTCATTTTCAACTTTAAGATTATTCTTCAAATGATGAAATGTTGACAGATTGAACTTCTCAATGCTGTTAGGATCCTGAAGTGTAATCAAGTCTTTTCGTTGAAAAGCTTCATCATTCAAGAGATCTATGAAATTCTTTGTCTTTATATTTAGTTCTTCAACAGCCTAGTATATAGAAAAAATTGAATTATTTTCATAATTACTGAATATTCGGTGGTGTGAGTTGCTAATGTCTTAATTGAAGAACAAAATACAAAATAACTTGGTCCAAAATAATATTGAATTTTGCATATACTGGTGACTTAACCATGACCATCAAACAACAAATCACAAACAAACCTGCCACAGCTTCATTAACAGATTAATACCAATGATCAGGAACATCTGATAAAACTCCGATTTTGATATACCTCTTGGTTTAACATTTCTTCTTACACTGTATGCCATGCCAGTTTCACTATATCGTGATTGGTATATGGCATTCACAGTATAACAACAGACAAAGGTTAAAGCAACAAGTAAAAACAAATCTTACTTTTATGTTATAATTTCAAAAATAAAAACTTTAAACATTAGTTAAAATTTGCCTCACTGCAGAAACAGCCTATGAATTTGCAGAAAGTGTAAATGTGTTTATACACAATCGCTAAATATTACCTCATAAGAAAATACATTTCCAGTAGTCCCAACTGCCACTATATGAGAATTTTTGGTAAATGACTTAAACAGAACAGGGCAATGGTATTCTTCTTTAGCATTCTTATGGAAATTCAGTTTTATCAAGTTCTTTGCTTCAAGAGGCTGTAACAAACCAAGACAGTTTTGAGTTTTAATTGTAACCATAATTAATTAAACACAGAAATTTTAACTCAGTAAAAACATTCAAATTCAAGTATAGTAATAAAATTTACAATTAAATTAAACAGCTTAATAAATAAACTAGCATGAACAAAATTAAACCAAATTACTCTTTTGTGTCAGATTTGAAAAACCCAACCCCATTGTGTAGCAAATACCACTGAACTTTCTGTGATTTCAATATGAAACAAATTTCTGGAATTTGAATTGTTCAAGAATTTATACATCTCACTGTTGGAGTAACTGTTACATCTACTACAAGGTTAAAAATGCATGTAGCAATGTAAAATGCAGATTCTCATGTATACAGGATCAATTTTACTGATGCTAGAACCTCAATCCTTTCTTATAAATTGATCTCAGCACTACAAGTGTTACTTCATATCATCACTAGTGTTCTGTACCTTAAAATATGAAAAAAGGCAATGGAATAAGAACAATTCAGTAAATCAGACATTTCTGAGATAAGACTTACAACCTACCTCTCCTGTTACAGGATTAGTTTTAAATTTCTTCAAGTATGCAACAATTGCTTGAAGTTCAAAAATGTTTCCCTGCTTGTCACAATATGGATTTTCAAAGGGCTGTAGACATAAACAACAATGGTCAAATGGTAATCTCCGAAAACTGGATGTTTCTGGGCCCGTTCTCTTTCCTCCATACAGTGTTGTCCACTCTGTGTATGTAAGGTACCTGACAAAAATAAACACATTAATAAAAGTAAAAACTTTGTTATAATGTTACAAAGTTTCATATTAACATTTGTATCCAAAGACATAAGAGTAAATGTGCCCAATGAGCATCCTACACAAACACAACAGTGACAACTCTAGTTCACAAGCTGCATGTGGCCATCATCAAGTCTGAATGCTATTCACAACAGTCAATAATAAATTTCAATTTAACCCCTTAAATCTGGTTTCCTGATGTAGGGCAGCATTTACTTTTTAAGCCATTTAACCCTTTCCATGTAGAGATTCATTTACAAACATCCTTCTTATATATTTTCAGGCTAGTTACAATATATAAGGTCTCAGAGAAACAGAAAATGTCAACTGAAATCTTCTGTATTGTGACACACTATAGTCTTACAGACCAGTCATGGTAGACCCTCAAGGAGTTTTGGTAACCGCCTACACAGCATCATAACTCAGAAGACTATAATCAACACATTATAATAAAAAATAAAATAAAAAATAATAAAAAACCAATAATCTCAAATGTGAGAAATGACAGCAAATAATTTTCTTTCCTAATGCTACACACAAAATATATGCTGGGAAAACAATGCAGCAATTTAAAGAGTACCTATTTTGTGCAAAGCATAGAAAATGTTAAATGTTTAAAATTGTACTATATTTCAACAAGTTCTACATTTATGAAACACACAAAATTCTGGCCCTCTTTTCAGCAAAAATGCAGAATACAATTCTTGTTGCACTACGCTATGCCACAAAGATGACAGCCATCTTCATGCTTGAACCATGAGAACCTCAAATCCTACTTATGCTCTACTAAACTGACAACAGTTAACTGTTGCTAGTCTAGTAACAGTATCTACCACACAAACATGAATAATAACTAGAAACTTTAATTGTATCATACATATATGTAAAGCAAGTTTTGTATTTATATTTAAAATTCTGAGGTTTATGTATATTAATTTGTAAAATTATTTTTCATACTTGTATTGCAGAATCTGAAATTTATGTACATTGATATGTGAAATACGTTCTTGTACGTGTGTTGAAAGTTCTGAAGTGCATGTATATTGTATGAAATGACATGTTCTACATCCTTTCGTTGGGTCCTAAGAAGGATCTATGGAATGTAAATAAACTCAACTCTACTCTACTCTACCCATTCTACAATGTAACATGGTGCTGGGATTCAATACTTCTCATGCACCATAAATCCCTCTTCATTCGGTGACAAACTGCGTTATAAAACTTGTTACAAACACAAAATATACATTATTTCAAAAACTTTAACCTAAGGCCATCCTGAAAAAGTGGGTTTGGTTACATGACGTATTATTTTTGGTTCTATTCATGTCGGCGAAAATTGTGACATCTTCCACTTCCCTTCTTTCTGATTATCTTTTTATAGCATCACAGTTCTCTGTATAATTCGATCCTGCTGTCGAACCAGACCCAGATTCATATTTTCCCAACCTGTCATTTAAATACTTAGCAGAGGTTATTTTCCATTCACAAATAAGGTTATAGCTTTCCCTGAAAATACACTTCAAAATAGCTTTACCCATTTTTGCCCACTTACATTTTGTCTTTCTGATGTTGTCGTTTTCCCATGATGAATTAAATATTATATCCTTAATCACAAGTGTTCATATAAAAACCAATTGTTATTTTCTTCAGCGTAAACTACTTCAAAACGTCACGAATGGTAATACGGATACAAGTTCTCTGAAGTGCCAACAGAGGTACGTGAAAGTTATTTCATATTTAGAATAAAGTAACGCACAATTAAAATGTTAATGCTAATTGTATAAACTACACTAACAATATCTACAGAGGCAACGTTCGCATTTCCATATTTTTGTTGGGATTTAAGATTTACAATTTACTATATTATAAGATGTAGTTGGTCAACATGTTGACATTCGCACTAGAGTCATCTGGTTACCGATCTAAGAACAAATTCGTAAGGGTACGTGCAGTCAATCAAGCAATTGGTGTAATTTCCGTCTATCCCCAAAACATGAGTCAAAAGATTTAAATGTGTTGTCAGATAAACGCTTCCTATATGCATTTTATAAACCCACACAATAAAGTAGAACATTAATCTTTACCTTGTCATTCAACAACTTGTAATCTTTAAAGAACTGTATCTGGGTATATTGTTCTTTTGTACAATACAAGGGGGTGATGGATATAAATTTAAAGATCCCGCACATTTAATTGTGGATGGCTGTAGCTGGTGTATGCATGGCTACTTGAATAAAGGGATTTTAGTTGTGTATGTAACTATTATTATAATTATGTACTTGAATACAGTAGAATTGTGTTAAATGTATTGCGACCAGTGTACAGTTCAAATGAGAATTAAGGTTTTATTACTTTAATTACATACGAATATTTTAACTCTCACCGTGTAAAGATTGGCATGTAGGAAATCATCAAACCGGTATATTATTATAAAACTATTAATTATCATTATATTATATTGCAATTTGTAACTAACCATTTGGTGAATAATGTGTGATGATATTTATTTAGGTAATAGTAGGCAGAGCCAGATGTATTTACAAAATGGCGGACTTGCCTCAGTCTAATACATCATGTAGGTAACAGGAAAGATTATTTAATGATATTGTGAAGTTTGAATGTAAACTATAAAAAGTAATGTTCACAGTAAAGTTAAAGTTTCATTATAAGATGCGTATAGCATTACTGAGATTCTGTTTTAATTAAATACCCTTTTATTAAGTGTAACATGAAGTTATTATACTAGCCATACTGTCCTTGACATGTCTACCCTCAGGTTACATGGTCACCCCAGAGGTTGTATTTTGCTTTCTGATTGAATTTATTTTTAGTTTAAATTTCGTGACTGTTTTTTACAGACTGATGTCAGGGGCAGGGTCAAGTGGGACTGGGCGGGGTCGAGGCACAGCCTCTCTGACTGACAACAAGACTGAGAACAAAGACACAAAGCCAAATCCAAAAATGTCTAAGGCACTCAGCACTTCTGCTAAAAGGTAAAGTTGTTGGACTTTCCACAGATGTTATCTGCACCTGTGTTTCATGTAGATACTCACTTTTCAGTTCATTTTCATATGTTGTGTTATGTGTATTATTTGGTTACAATTTATCATTTCTGTTGATTTTTTATTAAGAGTAAGCCTATGCTGAAAGAGTTTTGCCTTTATTATGAATAAACTAAACCATTTGATGGTATATATTTCAACTATTATGTGTGTCTTCAGTAGAGGAGTCGTCATTTCAAAGAATAAATTAACCATAAACCACTATGCCAGTGACCAAACCAGACATTCCTCTTTAAACTTATAAAGTATATAGGTCTATTGTAGTTCAAGGTATATTCTATTGTAGGCATTTTCCAAATGTGGTGTATTGTATGACTTGTTTCATATTTTGATTACAGAATGTATCTATATATCTACTAGGTGACTTTAAATCTATAAAACTAATTTTGACTATGGCCTTGCTGATAACTTCAGTTGTATATTTTATGAAGATTTAATGTGTATACAGTTACAATGTCTTGTTTACAGGATTCAGAAAGAGCTTGCAGAAATTACTCTAGATCCTCCCCCAAATTGCAGGTAACTATACATCTTTCACATTCTGCTGTCAGAGATTGTGTCTGTAAAATATGTTAACACATTCCATGCTTTCATCACTGGTTTCCTTACAGTGCAGGTCCAAAAGGAGACAATTTATATGAATGGGTGTCAACAATTTTGGGCCCCCCTGGATCAGTTTATGAAGGTGGAGTTTTCTTCCTGGACATCCATTTTTCTCCAGAATATCCTTTCAAACCTCCCAAGGTGAGGTGTGGAAATTGATGCATTTAAACTGAACATGTCATATTTTATACAGAGTCCCAATATAGCATTTGTTGTACTGATGTGTATAAGTTACTGTCTCAGCCTTTGAACCCCATGCTCATCTAGGTAATATATAAATTTAAGTTTGTACCTCAAGGAAACACAACATGTCTGCATAATGTTATTTAGGGAAATAATTGTCATTTTCTGAGAACCTGACAACCTCTGAGCAAATTTCAGTTATTTAATGTTAGAGTTCATGGTACATAGGTGCCATAAGGCTTTTAAAAAGTCACTGGATGCATTTAGATTTATCTTGATTCAGGTAACGTTCCGTACTAGAATCTATCACTGTAACATCAACAGTCAAGGTGTGATATGTCTCGACATCCTGAAGGACAACTGGTCTCCAGCTCTCACCATATCAAAAGTGTTACTCTCCATCTGCTCACTCCTTACTGACTGTAATCCAGGTAAACATTATATATATATGGATTGGTAGATCCCATATTCCAGGTTATCTAATATTTTCTTTTTTCTGATTTATTCTGTACCTTCTTCTTCCAAAGGTGTTCTCATATTGCAATGGTGATCTGATTCTTTGTTCCTTCTGTATGGCATCTGTCTTAACCCATTGTTTCCATCTTGTTGTCTCCCTATTTTCCTCTTGCATTTCTGTTCAAAACCTTTTGAATTTTATCTTCATTAATTCTTCAAACATGCCTAGACCATCTTATTCTGCTATTTCTTTAATTTATGTGTTTACCTCTAAAGCTATCTGTCCACGCCTGTCCTGATAGGTCTTTTATGATTTTCCTCACTCCATCCAGGCAAATATTGGGATATTACCTTAAAGTATATCACAAGCACTTATATTAATTGAATATGAAGATATTTACATGCTATAAAAATGGCTATTTTCTTTCCTATAGCGGATCCCCTGGTTGGGAGTATAGCAACACAGTATCTACAAAACCGAGAGGAACATGATCGTATTGCAAGGCTCTGGACCAAACGTTATGCAACGTGATGTGTGGGAGTCAATCATTTATCATGGGTGGGGATAAGATGTATGTCAGACTTATTGCAAACCTGAGAAGTTGATTCCCATTTATAGAGGCATATTCCCTCCACCTATTCCAGTCTCGGGAGACCTCGTGTATCGTATATCAAGTGTGTGTGGTTGTAGATTTAGTTGAGCATTTGGTGCAATTATGAATGAGAGTCTGAATGTTGGTGTACATTACATATGTACTTTTTTAATGCATTATTAGGCTGCACTTTTGAAGAAATTATCTTGGCTTCTTGCTGAGTACTTTGGGACAGTTTCCCACTTGTCATTTGAAAGATGCAGTGACTTAATTATTAAAAAATAGTTTATAGTATGTCAGTGTTCAGGTATTCTAGTTCTTAAGTCAGTTTTCCTGTAACTCACTGCATGGTACTATTCATTAAACCACAGGAAGTATAAGCTGTTGTCATGTACGTTGTATTAGTTTTGAGTGGACGCAAATTTTATAGTGCTCAGTTTGAGGTCCATGGAAAGGACTTATACAGTGTAATGGTAATGTTTGCCATTTATAAGGTTTCAGGTTCCTGATAAGCTTATATATGCCAGTTTTTTATTATGATTTTTTGTAGGGAAGTTAAAGTGAGTTGTGCAATTAGGATATGTGGCATGGTATAGACATTAAGAATAAATTTAATAAAATTACCTAAATGTTTCTTACAGAATCAAATTTGTTGTGGAATATATTTAATATCTGGCTAGTAAAGAATGAGTTGCAGCAGTGCATTGCCACCTTGCATTTATATTTAGCTGTACTCAAACTTAATTGAAGAAATTTTTTTTTTTTTTTTTATGTGTATCCAGTGTAATGTGACCTTCCAGATATTTCCTTGAATTTTGTGAAAACTGGTTGCTTTGAAATGTAATTTTCTTAGTAATGGAGATCAAATTACACAATTCAAATATGAAAAGCATTGAATCAGTTCAACATGACAAATTCAGCATTGTCAGTGATAGTTTGTTCTTTGGATGTAAAGAATATAATATGCAAATAAAGTAATGTCATGGCATTCTTGAATTGTTACTTGGAACTACCATTGTTTGAAAATAACAAGATTATTGACTGATACAGGTTATCCTTCCTATCATGAGACCCTATCCTGAGCCAGTTGAAAATTTCTAGCCCATCTTTTTAAGATTCATTCCATTATTTCTTAATTATACTCCTCAAGTTTTATCTCAGAGGACCTTGATACAGTTTGCATTCATAATGTAAAAATAATTTTGCTATGGAAATACTAAAGAAGTAAGCAAACACTCTGACTTAATTACATGTTCTTCACAAAACGTTCTTAAAATGAAGGGAAGACAGCCCATGTCTATATTGTTTCTTTAAATGTATTTGGAAGACATTTTTATTGACAATCAATGGTAAAAGTTATAGGGCAAGTTTTGTATTGGTTTTTATCAGTCCAACATAATCCCTATGTAAAGTTAAACTCAAATCTAACTTGGTTTTCTTAAAAATGGCTCATTTGGGTATAAATAGTATGCATACAACATAGTACAAGTCTTGTTGAGATCCACAACTTCCATTTAGGTTTCTAAATGGTAAATACTTAATGAAATAAAGGAAAAACAATTATAGACCACATGCATGCCCTATTACTACAGTTAAGCCATACCTTACCTTGTATTACATCCATTCCTGCAGACCATATTGCAGCATTAGAGTCTCTTAACATTTATCCCTTAATCATTCCATGAATATTCCTATGGTTTCATTTTCTTCCCCTTATTCTTGCCTTCCTTCAACTGATACATCCTTCTTTTGGTCTTCTCATTTATTTTCAGTCCCACTGCTACTTTTCTTGACCATTAGCATCCATTCTGATTACGTGTCCAAACTATAAAAGTCTTTACACCTGGTTCTGCTGATACAAAATAAACTCCAATCACTTTTCAACTTATGTACAAGTGTACATGTCTAGGACACCAGAAAATATCCTACATGCTAAAGGTCTAACAAAAACTCTTGAAAAGGCAGCTAAGAAGACAAGCACACTGCCACTGAATATAGACACTTTCAAGGACATCAGTCGCAGCAAAAGCTTCACTTTATACAACTCCAAAAATGTTGATACCATTAATTGGAAATGATTTACCAACTGAATGCAATGTCTGAACACCAAACATTTTACAGTAATGTTTTTATTCTCTTCATTTAGTAACCATGTAATACATTATCTCTTTAAACTACAATGCTAGAATAGATTTTACATATCACATTTAATATTATGGAACATCAAAAATCTGTGGCAACTGCCATGAATATTCAGAATAATGTTAAAATTAAAAATGTATTCACTGTATTAAGTGTGATGGCATTAGGATACTGGTCATAATCCTATATGCATTGTGATTTCTTTATCCATGACAATTGTATGAACCAAGAAATACCGAAAACTACAAAATAAAGTGCTTGTTCTCTCATTGCTTTGACTAAAATTTCCACCACCAAGTGCACAGCTTTACACAACTGAGATTTAAAAGTATCAGTGAAAGAGTGCAATTACCTCACTAGATCAGTCTTAAATGCATACTTACGCCTCCACAGAAACTAAACCAACCTTCGTACAGATATATGTGTAACAATTGTATTATCAGTAAAATTAAATTTAAGTAACAAAATTGCATAGAAATATTATATAAAGAGATTCATTATGCAAATACAAAACTCAAGGTCAGACAATACCTGTAGCTATATATAAACCACAAGTTTTCAGAAACAAAGGACAACCGAGATACCAAATTCTACAAAACACATGAGACATTACTATGTATTATACGTGTAAACTAACATAGAACTAAACTACAAAAACACATCTAGAAATAGACTTATACTATTAATTTTATGAGAGCAAAATACAGTAAAGTCCTTTATCATACTTTATCAACTTCAAAGTCATTCACCTTTTTCTGTAGGGCAAATAGCTTGTAATACCATACAGTATGTTGCATCAGTTTCATCTCAGACCTGTACTGAAAGTAAGAAATGTGTAAAATGGCCAGAAAAAATTTACTTGAATTAAGGACCAGGAACTGGTCATTATAATAAACCCTACCATATACTATTTGTCTGTATGATATAAAATAACAGAACATACATCTGGAAATATTTCCCTCCCATGGCATTTTACAAAACCTACTAACAATATTTTCAAATGTCTGTATCTCCAACAAAATATACTGCCCCTTCACTACTAACACCAGTTTAAAAAGGTTTGGAAAAATAGCCAAAGTTTACTCTATGAACCAAAGGAAATCTGTAAATTAATGTGCAAAGTGAGATGACTTATGGCAGATGATATAAAACAGAATGACAGAATCTGCTGTTCACTGAACAAAATGGAAACCAAATCTTCATGACATTCACAATAACTTACCAATTTCAGACAATCATTTAGAATTGGTTATAGGAAAATTTGATGCACTACTGCTTTCTGATATACTATATTTGACCTTGGAAAAGCAAATGGTGAAAGAATATTTCAGAGACAAATAGTACGCATGTGCCAGACAACTTTGATGGTCAGAGGAGACAAATTAATGAAAGTCAACATTCACAAAATTTTATCCCTTCCATCACAGTTGAGGAAAGGGAAATTGCATGTAAAGTAACATGCACTGGATCCAACAGGTCTAGGGACATATAACACAGAAGTCCTGATATCATCCCCACTATGGAAACAAATACGTAGGATACAATATTAACAAGTTTCTCAAAGAACAGGTTGTTATTAAGTCTATGTGTACATTACAAGTTCTTTTTTATTAATTTTTAGTCATATCACTTTTTTTCCAAACCTAGCTTAAAAATGGAGAAAATGTTACACTGAGAATTCCTAACAGATTTTATATTAAGCACTATTAAGTTACAATGAAGAGCACACTTATTTTAGGCAGAAATGTCTACCAAGCAGACTGCATCTTTCCTCACCAACAAAGGTCAAGTACCATGTTCCAGGACAACATGGTAAGTTTTATGTCAAGTGGAACTTTGAAGTAGTGCTATGAACTACAATCACTCTTCGTCAAATGTAAATCAATATGAGCACAACTTAATGAGAACTGGAACTGATAATATATATTTGATATAGTTCTGTGCAGTTGTTTTAATTACCAAAGAGAGAATGGCTGCATAATGAAATGGTATGTCACTGATCAACCATACACAACAGCTTCTGCACTCTCATCAACTTTATCAGAGGCATTACTTTTGTTCACAGCATGTTCATGAATCAGAATATTACCACAAAGTAAAAATAGTCATCAAAAATGGCTTAGAAATTGTTTCACTAATGCCATTTTATGAACAAAGCACCCATCTAGTAAATTGGGCACTTTATTTTTCTTAAGGAATAACTGAGTTGTGTACCTTAAAAAAATTATCCAGAACTGAATCTTTATTTTATCACCATGAACACACTCTCTTACATGGAAAAAACTAGTGGCTTGTAATAGTTTTACTTCCAGTACAAGTCTGAAATGAAAATCTTCAGTTATAAAATTTGAAAAATTGCCAAGTGTATAAAATAAGCAACAAACAACTATTAACACTATATAAAAGACACTATTGCCATACGCGTTTCAACCTCAAGAGGTCATCATCAGTGGCATCAGGGAAATTAATTCATTTAATAAAATGGTTTAAACTGTATTTACAAATTAAATAATGAATAGGGTAGTTAAGAAAAGTATTTCAAGCGACACTGCACTAGATGTTGGTATTCACAAGGGTTGGACTCTGCACTTAACTATTGATTGGATGGTCTGGTGGCCGTAGCTGGTCTGCGGCGAGCTGTGGTTGTGCCTTCCGTACCTGTGAACTCTGGAGACCAGCTATGGCCACTGGACCAACGGATCAATAGCTAAGTGCAGAGTTCAACCCTTGTGAATAACATCATCTACTGCAGTGTCACTTGAAATACTTTTCATCAAATGTCCTATTCATTATTTATTTTTAAATCCAGTTTAAACCATTTGATTAAATGAATTAATTTCCCAGATGCCACTGATGATGACCTTTTGAGGTTGAAATGCGTATGGCAATTATAGTGTTAATAGTTGTTTGTTTGCTTATTTTATATTCTAATACACTACACGGTATGCAAAAGTTTTAAGATTGCCAAGTGTTTTAATGAATCGTTCAATGCTTCCATTTCCAATGATTATACGAATCTGTTCAGTTTACTTTTGAGACATGTATTCAATCTTTTTAAGATTCAATACTTTTAAATTACACAGTTTCATATTCCTTCCGAATGGATTTGGCCAGGCAGCAGGCAAAAATCACACCAATCAACTGCAACAAATAAAGAACAGTCTTTTAAGTTTTCTGGAAATATGGGAACTGAGGAATAATTGTACTTTGGTGGAAACACAATTTCTTCTTCCCCCACCCATGCCTCATCTTTTCTTTGGAAATCTCTGCCTTCAATTCTGATGACTTTTCTAATCTAGGTAGGATAGAAAGCCAACTAGTAAGGAATTAAATATATTTCTGGGGAAAATCTGACAAAATATTAAACTGAGAAATGTGTTTAATAAAAGTTATGCTCTGTACAACATTTGAACGAAGTTCACTAATTTCAAGAAAACTGTGTTATGCAGCATGATTAGTTACACAATAGACTTGTACATTCAATGAGGTACAGAATGCATCAGGAAGATCTGTACACTCCAGAGGAATATATCTTTCCACTCTCGGTTATATTCAAATATCCCATATAGTTTTACGAGTTGTTTTCGATATTAAGACTAATTCCCACTAACTGATTTTAATATTTGATTAGTATGCATTTACTGCCTGGTTAGTACAGACTTGCTGTTATATGAACTGCATATTTACCTGAATGAAGGCAACACCAATTCCAACTCCACCCAGAAGAAGAGCATAGTGTTTGACTTTATCTTCCAGTAATGACAGGCAACCATCAACATAATGATCTTTGTTACTATATTCACATGGAGATGCATTGGGACAGCAAGTATCAGGCAGGGTGTGGTTCTTGTAGTACACGTTAAACCAATCTTCAGCTCCGTTAGTGCCACAGCAAGTCAGCTAAGTGAAACAGAAAAAGGAAATAAATGCATTATCAATACGTATAACAAACCCAGGGGGAGCATCACGAATAGCAGTGGCTAGTTTGAATCTGTCCCCATCAAATAGTTAGGCCCCACGATCCGCCCTTTTACTCCAGTTTGACTGCTAAAATCATGTTTTACTCTCTGCAACTAACTTGGATCCAAATATGTTCATACAAACTTAGCAACAAGAAAAAAATATAAATCCAGTTTTCTCTGCAATAAATCAGCAAAAATGTGAAAACCCTAACGATCAGATGGAAAGATTTAAACATTTTCATAAAAAAGGGAGTAATTTGGCAGTTCAATGTAGATGTTGCACTCAAGGTATACAGACATCACTCATTTCCAAATTTCAGTCTAAATTATAAGTAGTGACATCATACATCCAGACTGTGGAAGAATATCATTTTGGTAAAAGAAGCTACAAGTAAGGAACTATGTTGTAAACATCAACTAAATATATTATACATCTGGATGTCCAATCTGTTCGATCAGTTGTGGATGAATAACAAAAAAGTGTGAAAATAAAGTCAAATTTTGAAGATGGCCATCTTCTGAACTGTAGTACAGTAGACAACATAGCACAACCCAGAAGACAGCCATCTTTGAACTCAATGCTATAAGAACCTCAAATTCTACAAAGTAATGTTTTTTTATACATTAATGTTTTGAGCATTTTCTTCAGAAGTACCCCAGTATACAATACAATATACTCCATCACTGTTCTCCTGCGTGTCTTCAGTTGCATGTCATATCAAATCCTCAATTATATATACTGTTTGTATCTTCATAACACATGGTCCATCTACGCCCACAGACCAATCTCATCACCTTAATAAAGTGACCACATAAAACAAGGCAAGACAGCCAGCTACTGTGACATACTGTACTTACATCATGCTGCATAATATCCCAGGATTTTGTGACCTCTTTGTTGTAAGAGTATTTGCTCATCGATTTGTTGAGGGCAGTCTGTAGCATACTTTCAACGTCATCCTGTAGCACATAGCCTGTGATACCACCAGCCAGCTCAAGTCCAAAGAGAACAAGAAGAAAACCTGCAAACTACAAAGAAGTATGGTCTTTAACACATCCAGTGTCACTGCTGAAGTATTTGGATTTCAAATGAAACAGATATGGAAGTTAGTTTAAATACATTAAACAAGGCAGTCATAAACAGCAAAGTTATAAGTATTCAGCCTGGGGTTTGGGCAAAAGATAATCCTTCACTGTAAAATATCCAGTGTTACAAATCTATAATGAAGACTGGCTCACAATTATGTCCAAATGTGGGCTCTGGCATTAGCAGGTCCCACTGTTCCAGTCCATTTGAGCCAATGTGTAAGAATCATGCCAAGGGCATCATTGCATTCAGATTATGAGGACTGTGTCACTAATGATCTACAGCTTGTCAACACTGAGCTTTGCTCTACTGAGATTAATCATATGGTCATTAAGGTTTCATCATTAGGCTTGTCCTGTATTAGTCATTATGAGGTTCATCTGGTTAAAACCACGTTCATTAGAAGTTATGGAAGTACATAATGATAACTCATAAAAGCTTGTGTCTGATAAACAAAGATTCAGATTAATGTTTATTCAATTTTCTTTTTGTTGGAATACCTTTTCTACAAACATCCCAACCCATCCTTCATTAATGTCTTAAATGAAGTACAGAACTTTGTCAATAATGAAAATGAGTTAAATGTATTTCAGGGTTGGGTTCCATTCTTCTCAGCTCATTTTGAGCTCTTCTGATAGGTATGCCAACGCGGCTGAAAAGTATGAATCATAAAAGAAACCTGTCTAAAATGAAAACTGCAAAAAAAATAAAAAAAGAATCAAGAAAAATGTAAAGTTGCAACATATCTCCAACAGTAATTTTATAAAAATACCAACAGCTGTTATTAAATGTATGTCAGTCTACCACGGTAACTGACAAATGTGTTTCCATCTAGAGTAGATAATCTTCAGTGTCCACATCTCCATTTGGTTTGAACTATTGTTTAAATATCTACAAAATTATATATACTGATTTTAGAAGTTATTAACAACAAAGAACAGAATTAAACTTTTAAAATCTGAGTATACTCAGTTCCTTACCATTGTTTTAACAAAATTAACATATTTTACTGTGTAAGAAGATCACCAGATAAAATATGCTGTCACTCTACATAAAATATATATTTTAGATTTCTTGCGTCTTTGGTCCTTTACAATTATTACACCACTGTATTTGTATACTTTTGTTTCTCAAAATCTATCATCATGTATGTAATGTATGTACATACAGTAATATGTGCAAAAAGTGACATACTGCATATATTACATAAGCAGGATGAAAGATTGCGATACATAAATTGTACCAAAAAGTATACAAATTAAGTGACTATGGTGTACTGAATGAGGTGTTCAGAGAGCTACTCCTACTTTAATATAACCTCAAAAACAACATCTTTAAATAAGAAAACCATAGGAGCCACATTAACTTACAGTCATGATCATGCAGTGGTTTTCTTTAACAGCACCACAGCAACCAAAAAATGCAACCACGAAGACAACAACTCCCACAACAATGAGCAAAACTGGACCAACGAAGAATTTTCCATGAATGAAATCCGTGTAATTGGAGTAAAAATTCTGAACAATGGCACCAGTGACAAGAATTGCAATGCCAGATACCTGAAATGTAGAAATATAGTATTAAAACAGCAGATATATAGTGAACATTTTTAAGTTGGCCAAATAAAGTTCCTTAAATTTTGCACATAAAATTTTATAAACATACAATTACATATACTTACGGCAAATATAAGGTTAAAAACAAATAGCACGTATTTGACACAGGTCATGCCGCCGGATACCATTTTGATATCAGTTAATCTTCTCTTTCGTTTAAATCTGAAATAGAAATATATATATTTCAAAGATAGATGTCCTCGAGCTTTACAAATAAACTGTAACAGTTAAATCTTCCTTATATGTACGGTAGAACCTTCCAGCATTCAACTTACACAATATCCGCCCTACTCTATGTCAGATGACAAGCTCCCTGGAATTCTGTATTAATACGCATGCACAGACAAATACGGTGCGCACTACTTTCGTAAACAAATAATAAGCAAAAATAGCCCAGTAATTGCGCAATATATTTGTTAACATATTTTTCTGGATACGTTATATTAATTTTAATTAGAATTTATAGAACTGTACTGTATTTCAGACTTGCACAGGAACAATCGAGCACGTTAACAGATTGCAGGAATTGTACCTATGCAAGGAAACAGTTGTGAGAACATGATTTATTATGAAGCGGGAAAGTTAAAATGAAGATGCACAGAAATTTGTGTGGGCTATACTAATGGGATGCTGTTCACGGCGAATTTCTGATGCATTCATAGTCTATTGTGTATCCCCAGTGTGATGCGAGGCCTGGGGCGAAGCAGTCTATGCAGTCCTATCCTTAAGATAAGTACAATAAAAATAAGAATGTAACCTGTCAATTACTGGCGCCCGCAATGTATTGGTGTTCGCACAAATGAATTCTTATTATACACTTATTGGTATTGTAATAACTAATTACTTTATTCAATTTGTTCTCAAACAATGAAAATATATCTTTGTCTAAGATTATGTTCAGTGAGATTTTAGGTAGACACTTTGTTCTTACCAGCATGTCCCGTTGAGAACAAATTAATGAATTTCATATTGTTAACATTTGACTCCCTCGTCCAAGTTTAAATTTAATTTTCTTCGTCTCAAGTTAATTTCTAGACTACTCCATTATGTGTAATAATACTATCCGTAACAGCCAATGTGATATTATTTATGAAAAGTTGAATCTGTAAATTATGATGTGTTTTACAGTCGTGAGAAATTTAGAGTGCGGATTAAATGATCCATACTTTCCAGATCTCGGAACGTGTTAGAAGAAGCATAATACTGCCAGCTTTTCGATTTCAAATTATGAGAAGCCATTTTAGTCATAGCATAATAATTTTTACGTGTCAGTCAAAATTTTACTTTTGACCTTTGTGAACGGCTGCGGAATTCCCGGAATGTTTCTACAAATTTTAGTATAACTCATAAACATTCAAATTCGTGTACTCATTTTTATGTTTTAGTACTGCAGCATCATGGTGGTTCTTGTTATAGCAAAAATTTGGGCAATGGAACCATCGACTACAGATAAAGACAAACTGTCCTCAAAATTACACTTTTTTAATAAGTGGGATGTTCAAATATGACAACATCCAACTAAATTAAAATGAACAAAATATTGATTACGTGATGCATTTATAACATTCCAAATTTACAGTTTCATTGTTGTGCATCCACGTTTCGGTGAGCGCCAGGATATCGGTAACAGTTATCACTGTATCCGTTGCTATGTCTTGCACATGAGTTTTTAAACTCTGTACATTTAGAGTAGTCATTTTAGACTCTTCCGTATAGACGTATTTACGTCAAAAGAAGACAAGCCTAATTCTCTTACACGATTTCACAAATGCAGATGAAAACATTAAATGTGATGAACAATAATGATAAATAGAAATCCCTTATCTCAAACTTTATTTAATTGTAACAGACCACGATGTCCACCCGCAATGACCAATTTAATCAAAACTAAAATGGAGAGAGTGGAGGGCAGTATCACAGATTTCTTAATAATTCTTATATAAGATAAGTAATTGTGATATTCTAAAACGTTTTTAACAGCAAAATATTATCTACTCTACGACGCACTTCTACAAGCGATTCACAGCTCAGCTCTTTCCACTATAACGAAAGCGGATTGTTGACGGCAGTAATGAAACACAACAATGCCGAATAAACAGATGACATAACAACTAGTTTCTTAGGTAATGCATAATAAATGAGAAAAGAGCCTTAGGTCATGCTCAGCTAATATTGTTGCAGGCGTGTGTTAGAAATTCGAATCCTTTTTCTTGCATTGTTATGCACGCAGGAGTTCATATAAAAGCTGACCATTGTCGGTCCATATTTACACGTTGTTGGTATGGATCTTACACATCTTTTAACGCTGTTTTTGTCGAATGACCCTTCCGTATAGACGTATTTACGTCAAAAAAGGTTGTCTCTACGCAGTGTGATTAACTTTGTAAACATAAATTTGTATCTACAATAAATAAACATCAATATAAATGAGAGGCATTTCAGGTTCCCGCGCTGGGGAATTGCGCCAAGTAGTCTGGTAGAAATTTGCCGACGTTTACCGCCCTGATGATGGAGGCAACAAGCACATATGAAACGTCGGTAAACTTCTACTAGACTGCACGGCGCAACAACCCAGAAGACAAACCGCCTTCAATGCCAATGAGATTTGAAAGGTCGCAAAGAGAAATGGAACGCCAGTTGTACGTTTTCACCGAGATGTTTTAGCCTCCTTTCTTTACTTTATCAGGAAGACCGGATAGACCAGTGTTCCTCGACTCGCAGTTCGCAGAACACTCTCTGTCCACGCCTTCATTTATGCCAGTTCGTAAATTCCATCTAGCGCTTCAGGCGTTTTCTTATGTCGCACTTGAAAAAAATACTGCTTTACGACAATCGCGTTCTTTCTAGTCTCATTTTTGTGATTAAATAAGTCGGGTAGCTCAGTCAGTATAGTGACTTAACTGTTGAATTTTGTTCTAACTCCAAAGTAAGGTATCAAGTTTTATAACAACACAATAATTGACAAAACTGCTTTATGTATACTGATTTTCAGTGCTTTTTAAAGCAACACGGCTTTAGACTACCAACAACGAACGTATCACGGCAGGAGCTTACACAGAGCCTCTGGCTGCTACTGAGGCCTACGCTGCAACGAAAAACTTCTGCTCAAAATACAAATAAATGTGCTGCAGAGTTCCATCTTGGATGAAGTTAAACGATCATTGGATTCCTTCACAGAAAGAACTTGATTCGAATTAGGGCCTTCTCTGTTGCCCTGGGGACGGGAGAATTGACCATTAGCACAGGGAACCACTGAACTCGTGATCATTCACATCTGATAAACGACTTAGGTCAGTGCACTGCTCGAAGATATCCGTCTAATCCCTGTTGCTTGTTATCTTATTAGTACTATACACACAATTTCCCGGGCGATCTGTCAATATTTAAACGATTACAAGGGACGACATTAACAAAAGCAATGTTTTATTTAAACGATTTTCGAACAGGAAATTTTTGAGACTCAACGACGGTGAGTATGAGGACGATGCTTTTTGGTTTTTGTGCTGTGTAGTCTGGTAGAAGTTCACTGACGTTTCAAGGGTGCATGTTGCCTCCATCATCATCGCCCTAATGATGGTGGCAGCAAGGACCTCTGAAACACTGCTAAACTTCTACCAGACTTCACGGAGCAACAATCCAGAAGACAGACATCTTCAGGAACTGTCTGTAATGAAGAGAGGCCAACTGAATGGCGAATGAGGAAACCAGAATTAACTACGCTCCATTTTCATTGTCAGAAAAGTTAAATGAAAGAAGTTAACGACGATCTGTGCATGCATTTCGATGAGAAAGCAACGAATATCGAGTATTTCGAGAAACCCCTTGAAGAGTAGGCACTTGGAAAAGAGGGATCTAGACAGGAAAATAATATTAAAATAGATCAAATACAGGCTATACTGGACTAAACTGAATTAGTTCAGGACCGGGGCCACTGATGGAGAATTATGTTACCTGTGAGTGACCGAATTTGCAAGAATGTGCATTTTATATCAATTATTTGTGGTTTATTTGCCGATATTGTCAGCTCTACAGACAATAGAGTTGAATAATAGGTTGATTAATTACAAACGAACTAGAAAGGATATGGAAGGTAGCGGCTGTGGCCTAATTTAAGTTACTATCCCAGCATTAGACTGGAAGGGCTGAGCAAACCCATGAAAACTCTCAGTGAGGATAGCCGATCTCCAGGCCGAGGTTTCAACCAGGGACCTGCCGAATATGAAGCAAGAATGCTACCTACTCTACCGCGACGTTTGATGTAATGCGTATTTTAATGTAATATAAAGCTATCCCTACACCAACCTGCTCGTCGTGAAATAAGAATAAACAAGCACAAAACGCCAGTCGTACTGTTGCGAAGATTAAACACAGCTGCCATCCTCCCACCTTAAATATCTAGAGGACATGCCCTTTATAAAGCCTAATCAAATTCCAAGTAGTAAGAAAAATATGTGTGTGTGTGTGTGTGTGTTACGACTGACTTTGCTTGCGCTTTTCCGTCAGATTACCAACACCACGTGGCTAGGGACCCACTGGCGCGACTAGCCGCGTGCGGCGTGTCTAGTGTTGTCGCGCGCGGCTAGTCGCGCCAGTGGGTCCCTAGCCTAACACGGTTCACGCCATTACTCTCGTGACTATTACTGTGCACGCTATACGTCGGAATTGTTCGCCACGTACTTTGTGTTCCAGACAGTGATAATTACGTGTGTGGTGTGGTGGCTGCTGTACATTACTCCATTATTTTCGGTGAATTTTAGTGAGATCGCTTAAGTTACAATGAATTTAAGTGGTGGTCCAGCATGTCTAAAGTATCTTCTCTTCAGTTTCAACCTGTTATTTGTGGTGAGTGTAATCATACTTAAACTGCACTTTGCCCTTTGTCGAGTATGTGAAAAGATAATGTCTGTGATGCAGTGTAGCCTGAATATTCATCATAATAATGTGCTGAAATTAGCTTAAGGCCACAACCCCTGAATTTCTGTTTGTTGTTTAACACGTAACTCTGTGCAACAGCATTTCAGACAAGAACGTTCCGAGTCAGTAGTAACAACGAATTATCTTTGTAGGTACTTCGCTACATACTAAAATTAAATTTATTTATGTAATATATGAATAAAAGTAAGTTTGTCTAAAAGTACAGTGGTTACAACATAAGACATATGATTCCATCGCAGTCTAAATTCAGTAACTTTAAAATTTGTTTCTTGTTTCTTTTTCATCTTAAGCGTAAGTAATGAAAGCAGCTGCAACAATATTTTTAGGAAAAAAATCAGTAACTACGACTTACATAAAATCGCAAAGAGCACGTTTAGAAAATATGTGTACTCCAAATGGAGTATCGTACACATTTCCTCTCTTGTATGCATATTTCTTTCGACAAGGACACGTTTCAGCCATTTTTCATGAAACTTGATTACAACTCGCCAAGTACAACAAGGAAGCTAGGTCATAAGATAAAGTATAATATGTGGTAACTTTTATCAGCCCCCAAGGCTGTACTGTTATAGTAGCTATAAACTCTGCCCCATTTGCACAACAAACCTTGCTCAAAACAGGGCATGACTTGGTGGTACCAAACGTCAAAATGAGCATGTTAGTATTCTTACTATTCATTTCCTGAATGTCTTGAGTAATTCGTACTCTGAGATGGGTTCGTCATGTAGCACTCATAGGGGAGGAGTGAAATACGTTTAGAGTTATGGTTGGAAAGCTTGAAGGGCAGAGGTCATTCGGAAGATCTGGGTATAAAACTGGAGGATATCAAAAGTAATGTTTAAGAAATAGGGCAAGATAGTGTAGACTGGGGTCATCTGGTTCAGGGTACGGACGAGTGGCAGGCTATTGTAAACATGATAATCAACGACGGGAAATTTACTGACGAGCCGGGCGACTATAAGCTTCTCAAGAAGGGCCCTGCTCAGTGGAGTTGGTAAGATCTTGGGTTGGAATCTGACTTGCCTTGAAATAAAAACATAAATCGGATTTGTAGTAACTATTGAAGTTGGCTAATGTAACGAATTTTTCTGCACTTGAGATAATCTGTTTACTGGAATGATGAAATTCAGACAATTCTTGTTTAGTTCAAATTGATTTCTCTCTCTCTCTCCCAGACAATAATGGTATCGCTTGTTTCACATGGATATGAAACCCGGTCTCTTACTCCAAAGGAAGAACATAACTTTCAATTATAACGAAAATATCTGGACCTAAGAATGATGAAATCGACAATTCAGAATACTACGTAACAAGGAACCATGGTACTTACATAGGTCGCTTTGTAATGGTACAGTAGTGGAATTTAGGGGATTGCGATAGTCTGGGATGCGAGCGATAAAAAAATCGTGCAGGATTTTGGTTGAGAGGCTCACCGAATCCAATCATTATGAAGACCGTGAAGATGTCAGCTACATCTTAGGCAGAAAGCTTGAGAATAGCTAAGTATCGTGTCCAGTTGTGGGCGCTAGTAAAGACGATAAGGACCTCTGTGTTTTAGTATACAACAGTGTATTTCTTTTGTAATGAATTGGAGATTCTCAAAATTGATGATTGTATTTTGATAGAAAGTTCAATATGTTTGCCGACTTTCGTGTGTAGCCGTTGTTTTCTTTAGACTCTAGAATTGGAGGACAATTTTTAAACTTCGTTTTGAGTACTCAAGTTATTCCATTTTGGGAGAGGTCGGAATTGGCGATGCATTATAACCGTTCCACATTCTCGAACCGGTTTGCTCAGTGTTCGTCTCAAGGGTCGCTTAACGGGCTGTTGATTGAAGACACCTCACAGAGGTAGAGAGTCAGTTCCCGGAGGATCTAGAATGGTATATCTCTCCAATTCTGATATCGAAACGTCCATCTCCTTCGAAAGTTCTCTCTACAATTCTCTCACACAAGACAGTCCTTCGGATATATGTAGTTATACAGACTTAAAATATTTTCTAATAAAGAATACAAATCATGTGTAGCAAAACTTCTCTTGCACTGCCATATACTTTATTAAATCATTTCAAACAGAATGAATAGCCTTCTCACTAGGCTGTACACCTGCATTTACACAAAACTCATCGGCTGTCAATCTCAACACGCATGCACAATGTCTACTCTCTTAAAGGCAACTCCTTAATACTAATATTTTGAAAACAATATCACGACTTGCCCACGCGGCCTTCCGTCAAAAGAATAAAGTACAAAAACACTTTGAAAGAAATTAACAATTGGGATATGTGAAACTCCTTAATCTTGCAAGTCCTAAATCGCAAACCGACGCCAGACATTGGAAACTACCACATGTCACAGGTCATAAATGCCAAACTAATATAAGCCGTAAAATACCAACAATAAAGGTGGAGTGTGGACACGAACATCAAAGCAAGGTTTGCCCGGTTACAGCATTTTAACATATGGTCCCCAGCTCTGACAATTTGATTAGATAAGGACCGTGAAGAAAGTACAACTGACACATTTAAAACTGTTCCTAACGAACATTCCACGTGAATATACAGTCCGAGACGTGGCCATTTGTAAGAGAAAATGTAAAATAGAGTACTACTGGAAACGTGAAAACTTGTACTTGCATATTGTTTCATTTTTTTCGAACACAGTATTTTTCACATATCTGACTGCAAAATACTGTGTGAGAACTGGATAAAAACGGCTCTAGATATGATCCAACGTCTCTGGGCTCTACAAAAATTAGGAAATATATTGAGATGAAAACATTTCTTTCCTTCTTCTCTTTTGGGCATGGTGGATGATGAGGCTATATCGGAATGACTGCATAGGAAAACCCTTGTATAATTCAGGTCAGGATTCAATGTCGCTCGCTCTACGTGTCACAAGATACGGCTTTATCGCACACGAAGCACGTGATCGATGACAAACGACGTAAAAGTGCAGAACACGCAAAAGAATGAATGGGATGGCCTTACAATGTCGAAGTTGAACAAACAACCACAGAAAACGCCCGTGTGATGAAAGTAGTGAAGGTGGTTCACACCATCTATGTCAGGGGTCCTACATTTTTACGACCTGGGGCCAATTCACTCTTACCGTAGCCACCTGCCAATTTAAATAAAGATAGTTCACTGAAATTTAATGAAAGTTATTAAAATTCTACTAAGGTACAAAGGCAAATATTTCTTTAACTAATGTTCATATGTAATTCTTTTGAGATTAAATATGTAATGCAGGCAGTGATGGTGTATCATACAGAATGATACAGTACTATTACAAAAATTTGAATGCCTGAAGATGCATGTTGTATTATTCTTCAAAATATTCGAATCGACCAATATGTTCACACAGCTTCACAACCCAGGACAATGGCGTCTTCACCACAAGAACCAGAAATCCCCAGTGTTTTCCTGTTATTATTATGGTACCCAGTGATTTTTTGATCACATGACACTTGCCAATGGATTGTATCCTGAGCCATTGCAATGCATTTAACATCTTCACACACCATTTTAATATTATTCTGTTGCCTGTGCATAGGTCCCTCAGTAGTATCATCCTCTGAGGTTTTCTTCCAAATATTAAATGAGAAAAACTTTGAAGCTGCTGAAGTTACCCCTTTTTCCTTTGTTTTTATTTGTTTCAGATCACAGGTGTTGTGGTTCTCTGTGTTGGAGCAGTAATTCAATCCTATTATCACAGCTACAGTTACTTTCTAGATGACAAATTCTTCTCAGCACCAGCGCTACTTATTGCAGTTGGTGCTATTGTACTCATTGTTTCTTTCTTTGGGTGCTGTGGAGCTGTGAAGGAGAACCACTGCATGATTTTGACAGTAAGTATTTGAATTTCAGTCTGAATAATGCAAATCAATGCCTTACTACTTACTCAACCACAAGGTCCTCCAGTTGCTAAGGATCAAATCTGACTAAATACCTATTTTACAAATTAATTTTAAAATTATTATATCTTGTTCAGTACACAACAAATGTTTGCTTTCTGCTAAAGTTCAGGTGCTCGTGGGTTGGCACTGTAATCTACGGACCTCCCCAGTTATGTTACACTTGATTTACCCAAATCTAATTTTCTTTAGAATAAAATTATGTAAGTCACTGCTTGCACCAGTTCTTTTTGTTCAAGCAGTCAGTACAAATTAAGGTGTGTTAATTACATGTTGATGCTAAATTATGTTTATTAACAGCAAAGTCACCAAGATAATAAAAACAATTAATACTTTAACAGAACACATAATATTTGCTGATTTGAGGTTTTCATGTTCCATAAAAATGTGAAATTTCTTGGAGAGAAACAATTACATATTTTTTAAGAAATATCCCGCAACAAAAATTACTGTTCTTCACACTGAATAATAAAGCTTCAGAAATTTTAATTCCTTACCCTCCAGCCTGATATTAACTTTTAATGTGTGGTTTTTGTCAGTTCTCTGTTTTGTTGCTTGTGGTGTTCATCTTGGAACTGTCTGGAGGAATTGCTGGATATGTGCTCAGGGACAGTGCACGTGATTTCCTTAAGGGAAAATTGAATGAAAGCATGCACAAATATGACAGCAGTATTGAGACACAGGAAGTTTGGTTTGGCCTACAGACAACGGTAAGTTGATTACAATTTTTGTTGACTTTTGACTTAAGAATGAAATGCTGAATGAATAAATACGAAATTGGGGGAAAGCAGGAGTAAGAAAATAAAGCAGCAAGGGAGTGAGGGAATTTATAAAGAAATGAATGAGTGAGGGACCGCAACATATATTAAAAATTGAGTGAATGAAGGGAAAACTGGAGTGAGCAAAAGAGTACATGTGCAAAGAGTGGATAGGCGAGGGAGTAGATGTAAATAAGTGAGAAAATATGGGTGAGCAAGGGGTAGGTAAAAAGTGACAGTATGCAGAAGAATGATGGAGAGAGTGGTCGAGTGAACAGTTGCGTAAATGAAAGGATAGAAAATGAGTAAGCAAATGAATGTGGGAGAGAGTGACTGAGTAAGGACTAACTAAATGTGTGAAAAAATAAGGAAATGAATGTTATAGTGACTGTTGGTAAATAAGTGAACAATGGAAAAGAGTAAAAGACTGAATAATTAAGCATGTGATAAACAGGCAAGTAAGTGAGTGAGTGAGGGAGGGATGACCGAGTCAGGGAATCAATGTTCATGCGAGAGATAAGTGAAAAAGTAAGATCTTTCTCTGTTGATCTCATCCCACATTTTTTCAAGCAGCACTATGACCTTAGCACAGATTTTTATATAAAAATGTTTAATCTTCCTCACACTTCCAACCCTACATAAAATATTGTGTTCATATCTGGTAAAAATAACCTGATACAATATCCCACACACCATAAGAGTCTGAAAAAAACAAAACAAAGATTTTAATAATTTTAGACATGAATTTCATATAAAGAATGGATGTGTGTTAGCAAGGAAATTGTAGGCACAAAAATTAAGAAGTTGTCAATGATTATTAGTTACTAATAAGTGTCTAATATGGCAGATAAATACATTGGACTTAAGTTCCACATATAAACTATCACACAGTTTTACTAGAATAATGCAGTATTTCAGAGGACAGGCTCATTTTTAAAAATCATGTTTTGTTTGCCACATTTATTTTTATTGCCATGGAACAAAGCTATCCATCTGTCAAATGTAAATGCCATATATTAAACGTTAAAATAATATACATTTCCAAATTCATGCATTTTGTTATGTCATAAATGCTGATTTAAACACTGGAACTTAAATATCTGCCTTAACTAATGGTATATCTAACTTTCAACTAAAGCATTTGTAAACTTAACATAAGCTCACACTAGATACTTATTTTCCTGGGACAAATCTATGTTGAGTGCCTGATTACTAATTTCTAAGTTTTATTTTACCTTACTGACTCCCTCTCTAAATAAATTATCATAATGCATAAAATGTTGTAATTTTGTATGTATATTATGCATTTTATAACCAGACAAAAGTGTAGTTAGAACTCTATATGTATCAGGGGTTTAAAGTCTCAGCCTGTGTGAATACTGAAATTTATGATAGAAAGTGCACTTAACCTTTAAAAATTAGTTGAGACTGTGATGTACGATAAAAGTCACCTTTTTGGATCACCTTACACAATGAAAACCAAATTACATCTAACAGGAACTGGCAGTGCTCTAGGACTTGGAAAATTTTGTTGTAGCAGGGAAAGTGCTCTGCATTCTTCAACATCTTTTGAAATTACTACAAAATGGCAGTCTGGAAGATCCTGTCATATTTAAATATAAGCTTTTCATTCATTTTAAATTAAATATTGTTCATATTCTTAAAATTCACACTTCTTACATCTAATTTTATTCAGATGAATTCCTATCATTTTATTTAGAATGAATATCAATTGCAAATGAAACCTAAAAATCAACTCTGTTCACTCTGAAAATTATAAAAGGACAAAACATTCATGTACTTGTTTCAGCTGAAGTGCTGTGGAAACAATAATTACACAGACTGGGAAAGTGTCTTCCACAACACATCTCTACCACTTTCATGCTGCCCACGATCTCATGGTGCAGTTGGTACAGATGAATGCTACATAAATTCAACAAATATTTATGAAGACGGCTGTTTGAAAAAGTTTGGTACATATGTGATGGATCATGCTGCAACACTGGGGGGAGCTGGAATTGGGATAGCTTTTATTCAGGTAAAGTATTTTGCAGTACAGGATGTTTTTGAGGAGCATATATCCATTCAGCTGCTTAGTAGAATGTCTACCTATTATTTGGAACCTGAATTCCTGGTGATAAAGAAAGGTTGTATATCCTGTTCTACTTCAGTTAATGCTCTAAATATTTTACCCAAATCGTACGTCTTAGTACATAGCTGCCAACAGTAATTTTGTTTTTGCATTGTTTTATATGGATGATAACTTCAATTACAGTTATTATTATTGTTGCTTCTATCTACTACTACAACATATTACTTTCAAAGAGCAAATATGACAGAATACGAAAGAACACAGTAGAAATTTAACTTATTAAAAGCCATAAGTCTTGAATACTATTGTTTCCATTATAATGTTTTCATAAAAACATAATGGAAACATTACAATAATCCTGAGGTACTGAGTCTGCTCTGAGCATCTGAAAATGTTTCCTGTTATAGAATATGAAATCTCACAACTGTTATAACTAAAAGTCTATCCTGGATCCCAACCTGAGTTGGTTCCGTCTGGTACACATCTTCACAAACTATTTATTTTAGCTTAATGTCAGTGCCGGGATGTTATCACCCAATAAGTTAGCAAGCTGTAAAATGTCATGACTGCTTCATACTCTATTTTTCTAAATTTCACAGTAATCCTCCCATTTAATGTCATTTTATCCATGCAGTTGAAAAAGTGTCATTAAATAAAGTAATATATCAATGTAATATAATATTAATACATTCTTCCCAGGCTACGAGATGTGCAAGGTGGCAGGGTACCCTGAGGACGAGGACAGTTCTTGAAACTTTGGTGTTTTCTTCATTAAACCACCTTAAACAGCTAGTAGCCTAACAAGAATTCATTATATTTAGATGCCATGAAAGCTTCAGATCATACATAATGTATCAATGTAATAATTTCACATATTTATCAACCCTCAAGTGACAGTTTGGTATGCATTTAATGTTTTGTGAATATTTTCTTGTCACCCTCAGTGGACTAGTGGTTAGCATGCTCGCCACTGGACCCAAGGTTCGCAGGTTCAAACCTGACAGAGGACAATGGATTTTTAAGTGCGATAAAAATTCGTAGCACAACTTCCTTCGGAGGGGAAGGAAAGCCAGCCGTCCCATGTCGTAGATTTATGGCATGTAAAAGAACCTTACAAGCAATTGTGCAGAGTCAGTGAGCTGGTAACTTGCTACTCACAAACGCACACATCAAAAGACCAAGGAACCCTCAAAAGTAGGCCCTATGCTCTTGAAAAGAGCGATAGGAAATAAAAAGCAGAAGATTGTCGTTCTGTTGTGTTTTGATCATTAGTTGACAGTTGTGTAGACAAACTGTCAACCTAATGATTATCTTGTCATTTCCACTGTATATACAAAAAATTGCATTGTTTCTTCTGTTTCAGCTGCTGGGTGTTACTCTTGCTTGTCTGCTGGCAAGACACATAAGGAGAAAGTATGAATCTGTTTCATAACTGTAAAAAGAAACCTTCCTTCAAAGTTCTTGACTTTCAGAGCACATGATTTGTTGCATCCTCCATTTGGATCACATTACATACCAGACAGTAATTTTGATAAGTTGTGTTATGTATAAATTAAATTTAGTAAGTACAGGTCCCAGTAATTTTCAGTCTGTCATGCAGAATGTGGAAATCCATAACTTACAATCATAAATTATCCCATTTAGCAGATAAGCCATGCATGCAACCGAAGTAAAATCGTTATCTGGATTACATGAATTGTCTGCATTGAATGCTATGTGAAAACTGTAAAGTGGTCAGAAGATAAAAATGACACAATTTCAGTGTAATGTTTTTATACTGAAGTATATTATATCCTAAATGGAGGTCACCTTGTTCACTTTATTGTTAGTAGATTTCACAGCCAGATATATCAAGAGGTGGATACGGTACCTCAGTCACATCTGAACAATGATATGAAAACATATTTTTGTAAATACATATAAAAGTTGTAGTAGAACTGAGTTTTTGAATAAAAATCTGCAGAAAAAATGGTAAAATGATTTATTTCTATAGAATAATTAGAACATGATGCATAATCTGATTTAACTATCATATCAGTAATACATCTAAGAGGATTTAGGAACAAGATATTAAACCTACTGCTGCACAGTTCACAATGATGGTAATACCAAGAGAAATTGCATATAGAACACAAAATATGTTATGAAAAATGACCTTAATTCTACACTTGTTTCAAATTCTGGATACAAATGTTCCACAATGACCCTTTCCCAACACCCTGATGATGGAGGTAGCAAGGACCTCTGAAAAGGTGGCAATCTTCTACTAGACTACACAATGCTACAACCCAGAAGACAGCTACATTTGTCTGCATCTTACTCAGTATATTCAAGCAATCCACTTATTTAGAGGCCATCTTGGTTCACAACCTGAGGACATACCTTGCTATGCAGATTTGATTACTGCCACATTTTCAAACCATCTTTCCTTAGGTATGAACATCTTGTCAGCAGAGGCCATCACGTTTGTACTGATTCAACAATATCGACGTGGCAGCTGAATGAACTTACAGTGGAGTAACGTCTGCAACATTTAATGTAGGGTCCTGAAATTTTGTGGCAATATAAGTTTGAAAATTATTCCATTTTTATTGAGTTTTTCTGCAGAATAAAAACAAGGTAATTGTCATGAAAAATCTAATTTTACAGAAATATTCAGGAACCTGTAATATTTCATTCGCTGTAATATTAATGAAACATCTCCTTCATGCAGGTAAGTTTCTGTATATGGTTCATTTTTTGAGTTATACTGATTAATTGTGTTGCCCTCAGTGGACTAACGGTTAGTGTGCTCACCACTGGACCCAAGGTTCGTGGGTTCAAACCCGGCCGAGGTCAGTGGAGTTTTAAGGGTGATGAAAATCTGTAGCACAACTTCCTTTGTAAGGGAAGTAATTGTGCAGTCAGTGGGCTGGTCACACTAAATGTATACTTTAAAGACGAGGAAACTTCCAAAAAGGAGGTGGCGAATACCCACAATTGGGTTGTAGAGCCAAGGAACAACAACAAAAATTGTCTTTGTCTATATTTGTCATGTTGTCTTTGTGTCCAAGTTTGACTGTTATAAAGAAGGGATCTAATGTTTCATGCATTCTTTAGTTTCTGTAAGAGACTAAAATTTAATTACCAATAAAAATTATTCATATTGCCATTCTTAAGGTCCTTACTTACGTCTGCAGCAGGGATCCTGTGTTTATTAACAATGTAACTGTTTCTGTAAGATGAACACTTATCAGACCTAACTTAAAACATCACCGCTGTGAGAACCTCAAGTCAAACCATATTAAGTATTTGTTAAATGTTCTCTACCTCAAAACTTTCTGTGCCACCATCATCTCTTCAGAGTAAAAGTCCAGTGGATTCTATAGTATACATCAAGAACAGGGTTGTTTATATGGATTCACTGATGCTTACTCAACTGATTCATGAGACAACTGGATGAAATAATGGCTCATAACAGTTTATGAAAGGATGGTAATTTTTAGTGGAGCTACAGAATTAAAAGCAAAGAATGAGGTGCTAGAAGCACATTGATCAAAGCCCTTTTGGAGTAGGTATTACTCCAAACTTTTTTGGAAGAAACCAATGGATAACCCTATCAGGAAAGCATTAATGATCACGCTTTGAATCATGTTATCTTATACCAACATGATAGCAGAGTGATTGGCACATCTGGACATACTGACATGAGATAGCACAGTGGCATTTAGAAGAGATAACATTTACTAATACAAAGTAAGACCTTCATTTACCTTTAGTGTGTAGGCAAAATAAGTGATAAGCAATGATAAGGATGGATGTGTGACGCAATTCCTTACAAGTTTCTGTTCTGAAAGTGCTTTTCATTTTCTTTCTTGAAAAAACAGTCTGTTTTATGGTTTCAATAGCAGATGAGCAGTCTATGTGAATCAAGTAGT